GCTTATAACCACATTCTCATATTCAGTTGGTAATCCTTCAAGAACCTGCATGACCAGATCATCTTCTCCAATTTGATACCCAATAGTACAGAGAGAATCATAAATACTTTTGAGTTTTTGCAAATACTCATCAATTTTTTGCGAAATGACTCATCAATCGAAGAGGTCCTTAAGTAACACTGAGAATCTGCCATTAATGAAGGTGGCATGTGCCTGATCTTTAAACAGAGTTTCAATAGAATCCCAGGCTTGCTTCGCTGTAAGTGTGACATTAGGTTTAATAAGACTTCTCAAAATTTCAGAATTAACCGTAGCTTGGATCCATGAGAGGACAAGAGAATCAACTTGCTTCCATGACACAAACTCTGGATTACGTATTGAAACACCATCCATAGTAATTTTCTCAGCAGGAGATTGTTCAGAACCATCAATATGACTATAGACATTGTACCCTTGAAGCACGGGTACCATAAGTGATCTCCACACCAGATAGTTTGTGAAAGACAGGGTTTCACTAACATAATTTCTAATTTCTGATATTTGAAACAGAAAAGGAAGGATGAGTCATAGAAGGAATAGCAGAAGAAGACGACACACCAGTATTCTGAGTAATGGAAGGAGGTGTTGAGGGAGGAGTGACCATTATGATAGAAAAGACGGAAAACGCAAAGAAAAGACGGAAGACAGAAAAAAAAAAAAAAAAAAAAAAAAAAAAAACAAGAATTTTGACCCTAAGCTCTCGATACCATGTAGGCGGTATATGAATAATATTTCTGGTAAGTCTATTGACTACAGATATCCTTTTATAATACATTGTAGAGATAATACATTGTAGAGAGAATTTAGGTGTTACAGATATAATACAATACAAACTATATTTATCTCTATTAACAGAATACAGCTAGAATAGTTATCCAATAATATGAATATAAATTATCAGTATGTGATTACATGCATGCATGCATAGACGACATGTGACTTTATAGAAGAGTAAACATGCATGTGAGGAAGCACATGCAGTACATGACGTGCATGACTGTTTCTTTGCAGCTGTTTTGGATAATATCTCCAAATTCCACAATGGCTTTGTTGCCCATTGTCTAGGGATCTTTCCATGTTATTTGCTTAGACGGTGATAGCCCTATTGTCGCCTGCCAACACCCACCACCACCCACCTATTTCTTTTTAACTCTTTGCCTTTTATTGCTTCTTTTTTGTCTTTTCTTTCCCTCTATTTTACATATATATCTCCATAAGTAGATCGAAGATAATATTCAGATAAAATTTATCTTTTATAATCATTTACTCCCATAGTTTGGTAATTTGGAAATTTTGAATTTGATTTTTCTAATTTTGTTATATTATATTGTATATGGTAATTATAAATTTGAAGTTGTTACTGAATTAAAAAGTAGTATGTTAGAGGAAATATTGGGACATTAGGAATAGGGAAATGAGTAATGTTATCATCTCGCACGTTATGGGCTGTGGATGGGTCATTGTCGGTAGGTAATATTGCACAGTTAGTGATTGCTTGGCTCCATGGAAATGGTGGGTAGTGGTCTTCTTTCAACTGTGATTTGGCTCCAACCAACCAATCTGGGAAATGTAAAGGTGATTGCCTTTCAATCCAAAAATACTCTCATATTACATTTACTGTGATATCATTTAAAAAAAAAAAAATGAAAATTGTGGATTTGAGAATGTGACGAGTACTTGAAATTAGCTAGGGTAAATGTGACATAGATTGCTGTAATCTTAACAAGTGATGTAAGTGCCTAACTGTAGACATCGTGTATGGGTTTTCTTCCTTTGCCTTTTCTTCTTCTGCTTAATTTGTTCAATAGCAGAAAATCCAAAACCCACTTTCCAAATTGCTAAAGAAAGGCATCTCCAAGACCGACATTGTAAAAAGATTTACTAATTTATGAAATAGAGTAGAGAATACATATATAAGGCTAAATTATGAAATGTTAGAAAATAAGGACCCCACATGAGTGGCAAAAATGAATATATTAATATTACAATACAAGAGTAGCTAGCCACATGAATATATATATACACAATAGTAGGTAATGGGCAAAGATTAATTGGTCTCTCTTCATCTTCATCTTCATGTACAGGGCCAAAAAGGCTCTCTTTCCAAAACAAGTAGTTCATAGCCACACACACTCTTCTATAACCTTCATCTGTGTGACAAACTTTCCTTCACCTCACGTGGCCATGAAGATTTTATTTGCTCTATCTCCATTTTTAATTCAGGTTGTGTTTTTAACTTTTAGTCTATATGGGTAGGGTGAGGTATCCATGATCAAAAGGCCATGATCAAAAGAGTGCAAATTGTAATATACATGATATCTAATGGTAAAAAAAAAAAAAAAAAAAAAAAAAAAAACGATTGTGTTTATAACTCTATGTAAAATAATTTGTTGATTAAACAATTTAAAAATACACAATTTATACACGGATCATCAACAGGACACAGAAAAATTCTTCATAAAACAAAAATAAATTTAAAAATATAATAATAAGGTTAAGTTAGTAATGGGACGTGATTTTGAAATTCAAATATTGTAGAAAATAATAATAATAATACTTAATAAAATTGACTTGCTTTAACGCACATGGGCACCCTCAATTATGCCATTTGGATATCCTATTAGTGTCCAGTTCATCACAGATTGTTACCAACGATAGACTGCTTTTGCATCTCTCTATCTACGGCTAACAAGTAGGCATGGCCATATTGCGGTTCCGGGAACCGGAACCGTCGGTTCGAACCGGCCCGGAACCGCAACCGGAACCGGTGAGAACCGGAACCAACCGGAAAATCCGGTTCGCGCTTCCTTGTTCCAGCAAATGTGACCAGAACGGCGTTCCATAGAACCGTCGAACCCGATGGAACCGCCGTTCTCCGGCGCGTTAAACCGCCGTTTCGATACCGCGGTTCTAGCGTTGTTAACTGTCAGATTTTTGGTTTTTTTTTTTTTTTTTTTAAATTTGTTGTTAAATGTCTTAATTACCCCTTCCCAACTGTCTATTAAACAGCAAATACATTATCGGTATTTTGAAGTGATTTGGAATAAATGAATTTTGGATTATATATAAATACCTCATGTTTATTTACACAATCATTACAAAAAAATTCTCAACTCTCTCTAACTACTCTCTCTACAATATACTACACGGCTCGTACATTAACTCTCTCTACAATATAATACACTCTACTCTATTATCATATAATTTTTCTTTCTACTCAACATTCTATCTCTTATTAAAGCTAATTATTCTCTCTAATTTTTATCACAATTTCAAATTATATTTTCATTATCATATTCAATGAAGTGGAGGAAACTCAAATTCGGGTAAGGGCAAGGGAAAAATTGGAGAATCATCTATCCCTACAAACGACATCTATGATATGATTCCCGACCAATGTAATTTTGAGGGTTTTCCAAATGAAAATTTGGATATTCCAACTCAAGAATCCGAATTTAATGAGCAATTTTAAGAAGATGAAGAGCAAGAGCAAGAGCTACGAGCAAAAATTGTTACAAGAGCAAGATAAAGTTCCGACATATTCTCCATTCATTTCACAAAAAAATTCAAAGGTGAGAAAATGTACGATATAATTTGCAATTATTTACAGTATTTTTAAATTTTTATGTAATTATAATTTTTATTTTTCAAACCTGTATTAAAAATTTAAAAATTTCAACATTATGCGATTCGCTGGAAACCAATCACGGACCGCCTCGTTTTTGTAACGATCCTGTACCGGACGGTAACCTCGAACCTGACGTTCCATACCACGACCGGAACCGGCCAATTTCGGTTCGGTTCCGGTTCCAGCTTTTCTGGAACCGGAACCGCCGGTTCCGGAACCGTGGCCATGCCTACTAACAAGTAATAACATCTCCAATTCAACTATAAAGATATTAGTTTTTGAAAATAGCTCCTAAGGAACAAAGAAAAAATCAATTTTAAAGGAAGAAATTTGATCGCGAATAAAAGAAAATATATAAAGTACAATAATAAATAAATAAATAGAAAAAAAGAATAAAAAATTGAATCATTCTATCTAACAGATTTTCTGAAAATAGAGAGCGTGATGAACATGTCTTTTTTTTTTATTGATACGTCAGACTCATAGATTAAACAAACAATAATATTAAAAAAAAATTTATTTTTAATTTTCAATTGTTCAACCGTGATAAATAAATTAAAACAATTTATAATTGTATCGGAGATACTGTAACAGCATATAATCCTTGTCTCTACGCTTTTGAATTTGACCAAAGCTTATATATGCTGGATAGGGAAGCAGCTAGCTATGGCTAAGCTACATGATCACTAGTAGGCACATTTTTGATTCTCACTAACTATAATATATATTATCATTTTGTTTTTTATATGACCCAACTCAGTTTACAGTTTACAAACACATGCACTTCTTTTGAAAATACACTGTTTTTTTCGGTAATTAAATTATTCAGTTATCCGTCTAAAAAAGTGTTATTTATTTCATCGACTAAGAGATTAAAATAAGACAAATTTTCCTAATAGAAAATGAAATCTTTATTGGGCTACATCTGACTCATCCATCTTGAAAATGGCTAAAGGAGGCCCAAGAGACCCATTTTTAAGGCCTATGAAGTTTAGGCCCAAATTCAAAGTTAAAAGGAAGAAGAAAACTGGAAAATGTTTCACCAATTTATACGGCATTATTATTACAACCAATGTTAATCACTTATAAGACTTGCCTACACATCAGTTTATAGGTCCAAAACAGTTAATTAACTACTTTTTTTTTAAAATTTATTATTATTTTATCTTTTTTTACCCAGTGAATCAGAAAAACTCTTTTTATAACAAAAAATTTATTTTTTAATTGATTTAGTGTACGGGTAAGTGTGTAAAATTGATGAATCTTTTCTATTAATCATATATAACCACGGAAAAGAAAGGATGGTTCACTTTCTCTCCCAAAGAGGAAAATGCTAAATTGACCCGTGAATTTGTAAGTACAATGGCACGGGATGTGAATGAACAAGATATAAACAACAAAAGGGTTGGGTTTGGTTTATAGCCTTAAGTTTGTGGTCAATTTGAAGCACAAAAAACCTAATCCGTGACTATATAATCTTTAATATATGGCTATTTATGCATGAAAGAGAGTGATAAGAACATAATTAGAGGTGATGGGCTGCAATTCACCTTTTATGTTTATGTTTCAAAGGTTTTTGTTTCTTCATCTTCCTCCATGGCTAAACTTTGTTGCCCTATTGAATTGGAGCCTAAAACCTTGAAAGAAGACCAGCTCATCCATGCTAGGGTAACTTCGTCTAACATACTGAAATAATTTTTTCATTTTCAATATATTCTATCATCCCGAAATTCGAACTTATTATATCTGTCATGTAGGAGGTGGCTGCAGATGTGGTTCAAAAGATGGAACCAGAAGAAGCTCAAGCCTCTACTATATTCATTAAGGTGTATTCTTGTATAAAATTTCTCTCATTCAAATACCCATGTTATATATATCTTTAGACCTTGGACCTTTTTGTTTTCTGTATTAAGAGGAATCGTTATTAGAAGCCTCATAACTTGCAGTTTTTGTAATTTTTTTTCTTGCAGCAGGGAATGACAGCAGTTGTTTCAATCAAGGAAATGGATAATATTGAAGAAAATGGATATGGGGAAGATGATAAGAGGCTTGCTGCTGATTGCAACAAGGAGAGTTCTGAAATTATTGACAGTCCTTGCCAATGCTCAGTGATTAGTACTAGTACTACTAACTTAGAATTTCCAGAACAAATTAAGGAGCCCCTTTCAGCCCCTTTTTGATTTTATTTTGTTAATCATGTCATAAATGTTTATTTGCTTGACTCTAGTTTCTGGAAACTAATTTTATGATGTGAATCAGCTTCTAATTGGTCATACTTGTTATTTAGATCACTTTACTATTTTTAAATCAATGTTCTCCACTTTACTTTACTAATTTTCGTAGAACTTTATATGAATTCATTTTGATGGATACTGATTTAAATGAACTCGACTGTATCTGTAATCCCTTAACGAGAATAAAATTATATTTTAAAAAATTATTATCGAAAAGGGTTTAATTAATCAATATTGGCACTTCATTGTAGCTTTATTAATAAATTATGAATTGATAAATTCTACTTCCTTTGGTAAAAAACTAAATTTTACTTTATTTTCATGAATTGATAAAAAATTTATTAAAATAATACATAAGGAGATGTATATTAATGATTTTCTTGATATATTAAAAATTAATATGTATAATTATCATATTAGTTACAATTTTGATGATTGCATAATGTAAAATTATGAAGCAAGCTAAATAAATTAACCAAACCAAAGAAATCAATAACAAACTATAGTGAAAATATAACTTAGTTGGCTAGTAGTAGAGTACAGTAAATCTTGCTTCCCAAAATTCCAGTCTATCAATATAAATTTTTAAATATTTATCCATATCTAGTAATTCTACATAATTATATATAATTGATAATACTTTTTATTTAAAGCAGTTTAGGAATGTTTTTGTTTTTAAAACAGAATTAGGTGTTTTTACTTTTGTTTTTTTTAAGAAGAATTTCTATTTTTTGTTTTTGGTTAAATGAATCTTATAAAATTTTGTAAAAATATATTTAAAATTTGAAATTTTTTTATTTTTTTAAAATGTAGATGTGTATTAATTATATTACTAGTCTGTATAAGCAAAATCTTATTATTTATAATTAAAATTTATAGTATAGAATCAATTTAATTCGTTTAGATTGATAATTCAATGAACCAACGGGCTAAAAGTTGCATAGAGAAATAATTAGTATTTAAGGACAAAATTACCCTTAGCGTGGTTGTTGGCCTAAAGCTAACGAGTAAGATGAAGAAAAAAAGGCTATTTTCGTCATCTAGCCATTAGCCCATTACTAAAATTTGAATTACGTTAGATCGGGGTTTAGGGTTTCAAATTTCTGGTTTCCGGCTCCATTTTAGCGAGAGCTTCCTTCTAAAGCTTTTGGGAGGGAAAGACATAAAATCCCAATTCACAGTGACAGGTATTCTCTCTCGCTTCTTATATATTTAGATTTATTTGCATTATCTGTGTCATAAAATTCAAGTGTGAACGCCAACCAGAAATCTCAGAAGAACTCTGATTGCTTTCTGAGAAAATTAAAGGAACAATAGTTATCGTTTTCTCTAAGCTCCTGAAATAAACTCTGATTGTTTGTATATTTTCCTTTTGTTTCCTTTTTTTTTTTTATTGCTAAACTGAAGACATAGAGTTCCAGTTTTTGACATTTCTCGTTGCTTTTGGTGCTTCCTAGTTCTTCTTGTTATGTAGCTTCAGTTTAATAACCTAGAGTGACATTTAGTATATATTTGGTTTTAAATTGTGCTGAAACTAAATGATCTGGCCATTAAGAACCTAGGTTTATTTTATGCACTTTGCTTGGAATTCAAATTTTATGTTGGAATTTTTGTGTGAAATTTGTCTTCATTGTTGGGGAATTGCAGTATCATGAGATGGCATTATAGCTATTAATTCAAATCATTTATGGCAATGAGTTACCTAGTTGCAATTAAGGTGGCTATATATACTTATCTTGATGCTAATATTTGTTGTTTGCTGATAAAGATCAATTTCTCTCCAAGGGAAATTAGCAAATGAGCACTGCAGTACATAGAACTCCCAAATCCTCTGGGAGTCGTTCGTTGTTTTACCAAGATTTGGCAACACCTGTCTCTGCTCGTAAAGGCAAATTCTCAAGTCCAGGTCAGGCAGCTGCTGTATCTGCTCTATGGCGTGAGAATTTTGGTGGTTCAGATCTTCCACCACCTCCCATGTATACTTTGGAGGATCGTTCAGATTTCTCTCCCGAGTCTGGAATTCCTGATTACCCTCTTTCCCCAGAAATGAAGTCGGACCCCAGAACTCCTTTCCAAAGTTCTGGGAGGGACCTCATGACTCCAGCAAAAAGCAAACCTGAGGCAAGCACTTCGTTTGCTTTGATGAGTGGGCATCAGAACCAGCAGGGTTCAACAGGTTCAACTTGGTGGTCACCAACTAAGGCTAGAAGCACTGAGCAAGAAGAGAAGGCGAAAGGCTCTCCAGTTGAAGGTGTGGTCTGGCCTGGTGCTCTAATTACACTTCCACCACCAAGAGAAGTTGCAAGGCCAGAGATGCAGAGAAACTCCTTTCCTGCAGGGAATCTTGATGAGGAAGAATGGGTTACTGTTTATGGGTATGATTTTGCCTCTCTTTTTATACGTACCTGGTGTTTGTATTGTTCAGTATTTTTTGCCATCTTGTGTATGATAACTCCCTTCCTAATTATTTTTTTACCAATTGTGCATTTTATGACCCTGATATTTCCTTTTTCTGAGCAAGTGTATTGATCGTTGTGGATTACCAAACTCAGGTTTGGAAGTTTAAAGATTGACTTCTGGAACAAGATAAACTCAGTTTTTGGTTCAACTAAAAATTTTGCATTTTAGAAAGGTGAAGGTGCAAATGATATTGATTAGCATTTTTCGTTGCAGGTTTCAGTAGATTGACAGTTAACTCATCCGGTATCTTTTCATCAAGAAAGATAATATTTACTGTTTGAGCCCCATCCAAAATTGATTTTCTTGATCCTGTCTTTGCCATATCCTTACTTTCTCTTTGGTATTTGAATCTGTGGTGGATTCTCTTCTCAAGTGTTATAGTCAGGGGAAATTGCCTCAACTCAGATGATTTTCTGAAACTAATTGCTTTTTTGTTTTTTCCTTATTGTGAATCTGAACATCAGGGGCGACTTAAGAATAAGCATCCAGCTACCAGCTGGGAGATTATAACCATAAAAGCTGGCCTTGTATTTCATTGTTTTACCTATCTAGCAAACTTGGAATTGTTATCATAATTTATTTGCTCTTTCTGTTGACATTATAGCTCTGCACCACTGATCCTAAATGTTTATTTCCAGGTTTTCTCCCGGTGATACAAATTTAGTTTTGCGGGAGTTTGAGAAATGCGGTGTTATCTTGAAACATGTTCCTGGTCCGAGGGATGCTAACTGGATGCACATTCTTTATCAGGTTCTACTTATTTGTATAGCATATAAAATTTGAGTTTGGGGAATCCATGGCTTTTGTTGATATGTTAATTCTTGATCTGTCATTTCATTGTTCCAACGCTTCCTGTGGCTGGTAACACCAATTTTATTAGTTCTGTTAAAGTAATTATGATATAAAGAATGCAATTGAGACGGTAAAAATGAGTTGCTGCTGCCTCCTTTTTGTTCTTTGCTTTCCTGCTTCCTTTTTTCAACTTCAAATAAATGTCAGTGTTTATGCTTTATTGGACGATTGTTATTATCCATCTATTTAGTAATTATATATACCATAAATTCATAATGGAGATTGTCTGGTCTAGTGAATCTTGTAGCTTTTGCTTCTGCTCTATAGTCTAGTAGGTATGACTTTTACTGTTAATTTTAGCCAACAATGTCGAGATGTGATATAATTTTCAGTTTGCTGATGATATATGGTGGTAAAACTAACTAACTGTGCCATTTTCTTATTGTAGAGTCGATCTGATGCTCAGAAAGCTCTCAGCAAGAATGGGATGCAAATAAATGGGGTGCTAATAGTTGGTGTGAAGCCAGTTGATCCAATGCAACGCCAATCTTTGAATGAAAGACTTAACAATCAGGGATTCATGACTTTACCACCACAGCCATCTTCTAGAAGCTCAGAGTTCAACACATTAAAACCCTCTTCTCGCTCATACTATCTTCAAAATGGTAGTAGCAGCACCCGTCAGTCAGGAGGTACTATTGCTTCCCCAACCAAGTCCATCGTATCCAAAATCTTTGATGTGATGTTTGGCATTTAGATTAATATTTTGTACACTCATATGGCTCCTTATTATCTTGTTAAAATGAGATGAGTAACTTTTTCGGCAAATTATTTGATTCAATATCTTGGCCATGTGGGTTATATTCCCATGATATTGAAATTTGAAATTGTAAAAAGACTGGAGTGATAGATGCTTGAAGGTTAAGTGATTGCAGTGTGCCATCAAAATCTGTAAGAGATTATAAAACCCTTATCCCGTTCTCTGTTTCTCAGTTTCCTTTCTGCAGGGCGTTCTTGGATACATAGATAACAAATTAATATGAGGGTTTTTCTGCAATGCTTTTAAGTTTCTCAATCCTAGAAAAATAACCTGCTAGGAGAGTCGATTAGTTCAAGTTTCTTAATGGAACTGAAAGCAAATATTTGTTAATTTAAACAATTCGTAAGTTAAATATTTGTTAGAAAACCAAGGAGAGCGTTATATACCTAGTATTATTGGGACCAAAACACAAAATGGGAATACTATCCACTACCAAAAAATTAGAGACTATGTTTTTTTTAATGCATTCTTAAATTATTTATTTGGTCAGAATTGGAAGCGTTCGACGCATGACCTCTCATTAATACGTGGGGTGAGCTTTTATCAAAAAAAAAAAAAAAAAAAAAAAAAACGAAAGCAAAGTATTTGTTAATTTTCAAAACGGCAATTCGTTAGTTAAATTATTGTTAGAAAACCAACGGAGAGCGTTATATACCTAGTATTCTTGGGGACAAAAACACGACAAATGCGGAATACTATCCACTAACCAAAAAATTAGAGACGTCATGTTTTTTTTAATGCAGTTCTTAAATTATATTATTTGGGGTCAGAAATCATGGAAAGCGTTTCGACGCATGACCTCTCATTAATCGTGGAGAGATGAGTTATATATATAAAAACAAAAAAAAAAAAAACAAAATCAACGTTGGTGAGCTTGCAATGTCTGTATTTGCTACATTGGCATATTTATGAATAATAACTAAAATCTGCATTAGTTTCTGAGAAGTTAAGTAAATGGAAGCCAACCCCGGAGTTTTGTCTTTAATTGTTCTTGTTTCTTAGTAAATATCACAACGCTTGTTTAGATTTTCATTTCCAACCAGTTAGAATAACATCACCTCAAGTTCAGGATATGAGTCCAAAAAAAAAAAAAAAAAAAAAAAAAATACGTGGGGTGAGCTTGCATGTCTTATTTGCATAATTGCATATTTATGAATAATAACTAAAAATCTGCATATTTCTGAGAAGTAGTAATGGAAGCCAACCTCCGGAGTTTTGTCTTTATTGTCTTGTTTCTTAGTAAATATCCAACGGCTGTTTAGATTTTCATTTCCAACAGTTAGAATAACATCATCAAGTTCAGGATATGAAGTCCACAGAGCTCCACCTGTAGCCATCCTCGATTTTGTTCCTATAATGTTATTCTTTAATTAATTCTACCATTTCACTGGTTGAAACCTAGAAAATTTAAACACAAAGGAGTTTGAATTCTCTTCAGTCTATCCTTATTTTATTTTTTCATCGGAAAATCTCGTAGAAGCATAATAATGTTCTTTCCCATAGTAGGGACACAGAAAAACACAGTAATAGTAAAAAATTTTACTCTTATTAAGTCACGGGGCAATGTTGTGGTCCACCATATTCCTGCCATATTTCCATTTCTTACAAGTGAAATAAATCTTATCATTTAATTATCTAATATTACCAAAATTTTCAATTATTAAAATAATTTTCTTTTTTATATCAATATCATGAAACAATAGTTAAGTTATGCAAATGATCTCTTGCCGTAGTGGTAAGGATGACGCTCTGGAATTAATAAGTTCCAGGTTGAATGCTTACGTTATAAGCATTTGATATAATTTGTATTTGTATTGCGGCTCTTGATGGGCTGCCAATAGTGCAAAGAATGTATAACAATTATTGTTAATATATATATATATATATATATATATTGACATATAAATGATTTGTTTTAAATACTTGATAAAAAATTTGTGAATAATTTTTAAAGGATCATTAAGGTTGCACATCATTCAAATTGCAGCCCTTATATTTGAAAGGGGAGTTGTTTTATTTGTTACGAATAGTAGTAATAGCCTCAAGATAATCTACAAATCTTAAAAGAACGAGTTCTATATTGTATACAAATTTTAAAAATTTATTAAATATGCTTAAATTTTCATTTATTTGATTCCATTTCGTATTTTCTCTCTGTATGCTTACAAAATACGTGAATAAGTATATTACTTTATAACGTAAGAAATTTGTGATTTAAATTTCATTTCGTATTTTCTTTCTGCACTTATGTGTGAGACTTGTATTGTCTTTTAAAACAATAGATTAGAGTTTTTATTTCCTTCTCGCAATTTCTTTCCCTTGGAAAATTTCTGCCTAATAAAAATCATGTCAAAATACGCTTTTCGTGCTCATAACATAGTACAGTAAGCAGTGAGTAGAGAGTACTCAACCCTCACCTTCTATATAAACCCACTCTCGTTCATCTCCTGCTCAACCAAAACCTCCATATAAACAACAGCCAAACACTGCCTAAGGAAAGGAGAAAAGAAAAAGAAAAAGAAAGAAACTTTTTATTTTTATATACATATCATTAATCATCAATCACGGGAGAGTGAAGTTATACATGATGATGAATGGCCAAAAAATGCCGCCACCAGCGGAAGTGGCTGTGCAGCTAGCGGAATCCAAAGTGGCCGCGACGGAGAACAGTGGCACAATGAGTGGGCCACTGATTGGGGCGGCGAGGCCTTTTGATCGGAAAGCTGAAGTCATGCACGTCACACTTAGGTTCTTGTGCATGGCTACCTCTGTAGCAGCTCTGTCTTTCATGGTCACAGCCCATCAGTCTAGCACTATCTCCATTTATGGGTTTATGCTTCCCATTCACTCCAAGTGGTCCTTCTCTCACTCTTTCGAGTAAGTAGCTACTAAAAATTTGGTAATTTACCTGCTCCTTTATTTTTTGGTTGCCGAGAAAATAAGGGAAAATTAAAGAAAATGGTCGAAAAATGAGAGTTTGGAGATAACATTATTGCCAAAGAATGGAGTTTTTTTTATGGTTTCGGACAGTGTATTTGCTTTATTTTCTTTACCCTTTCTACATTTTCCTAGCAACCAAACGGTCCATTACGGACTGTCCAGTTCTCTAATTATTTCATAATTACTAAAACATCCTTAGTCTATGGTTTGAATTACTGGAAGTTGACCGACAAAAGCGGGGTCCTGTCCTTGCACGTTTGTCATGTTATGCAAAAACTTATGATTCTATTGAACATCGTGTTGACGAAATTGCCCTTGGTTTTGTTGCTTGTCTGAAGTAAAAACAAGTTTTGGTAGTCCTACCTTTCCCGTTCATAGCATTTGGATGAACAGAACCAAACCCGTGAGCTTTTATTTCTAATTTTCATATTAATTATTTATTTTAGTCTTGTAATAATGCGATTTGGAGTTTTTTGAGAGAGAATTTTCAAGGCTATTGATGTTGAAATGAGTGATATTAATTAATTAATCGTTAATTACATGTATTTCTCCTAATTGTTCTAATTATGGCCTTATAGGGTGGTTAGCTAGAGATGTCTTAAACTAAAATTTTGTACCTATTTTAACATATTTGATTTCACACGTATCAACTGTATTATTCCTAAAATGGAAGGGTCGAAGCAGTTTTCAATATAATTCAATTCCAATGCATACAGATTAAGGAATGAATCAATCATTTGTAATTGTTGATTCTGTTATTTTTGTTGTAACGAAGGTATCTAGTTGGAGTGTCAGCAGCAGTAGCTGCACATTGCTTGCTGCAACTGCTAATTAGCGTGTCAAGATTGCTTAGAAAATCTCCAATCATTCCATCAACAAGTCATGCTTGGCTTATTTTTGCAGGAGATCAGGTATTCCATATCACACACACACTATATATATATATATATACACATTTTTCATTTTTGACCACAAAGGTACTATCTTTGAAAAGTGTGTTTGTGTGTATATATTTCTTTTGTTATTTTTATTTTTATTTTTATTGGGGAAAAGAGATTCGATACACTAACAATTAGACTCGAGTACAATATTACGAGTTTCTGATGAACTAGTAAAATTTTGTTAGGTGAACTCTTTTTTAACTGTAATCAATGCGTTGTATAAGTAGGGTTGTGTTTGTGAACTCTTCACAAGTTTCCTTTTCTTTTTCTGGAAGAGTACTATATATATATATATGCATATGCTCCAGTAGTTAGCAATCTGGAAAACTATTAGAATCTTGCCAATTAATTTTACACAACAAAACCAAATTTAATAAGAAAGACAGCTGAAAAAATAACTTAAGCTTACGATAGAGGAGCCTATTCATAATGTGAAGCTATTTTCATATGGTAAAGAGCTGAAGTAAATAAAATTACATATTCAATGCTCTTTCTACATAACATAATGTGTTGTCAAGGATTCTATCATCATTTTGTGCTTAACTTGCTTATTTCCAATATTTCTGCTTCTACAATGCACTTAAAACTCGTGAATCAATTATCTCAAGAATTATGTTTCAAGTCATGCAAAATTTGCTGCTTTTAAGGTGTTTGCCTACGCAATGATTAGTGCTGGGGCAGCTGCATCCGGGGTCAGCAACCTGAATCGGACAGGAATCCAACATACAGCTTTGCCGAATTTCTGCAAGTCTATACATTACTTCTGCAATCATGTTGCTGCGTCTATCGCCTTCACTTTCTTCAGCAGCTTATTGCTCGCTGTGTTGGCTGTTCAGGAGGTTATCTGGCTCTCCAAGTCTAAGTCCTGAAGGGGGAAATTTCATTTGCCTGCAATGCTTAATGTCTGTGTTGTGTCAGTACACTTATAGGAATTATATGTATGCTGTGTCTAGTTGCAGATATTACTTTCTTAATGGAAATTTTTGTAGTTAACTAATTACTATGTTTAAATTGCCTTTGTAAAGAGCATGTTTGAGAATGCAATTGAAAGGACTAAAGCTTGATTAGCTATACAGACAGGTGGATTTACGTTTAAGTTCCTAATTTTTAGCTGTGAATGAGAACGGAGTTTGCTTAATTTGGTTTCCGAGCAAGCAAGCCACTCCACCAGTTAACAACAAATGCAAACAACAAAATCCATGTCTTTTTTTTTTTTAACCCTCTCAAGAAAGTGTTAAAGGGATTAACAGAGGTTGAAGATGCTGATGTTTTGAAGAAGAAAGCCGTTATTACTAATAACGGCTAGTAGCCAACGACACCGTTTTATAAAAGAAAGAAAGAAATTAAAAGCAGAAAAACGGCGTCGCACAGCTAACGAATGCAAGTGACAAAACATATGCAGTATACCTTCTTCTTGCTGATAACGAAAACAGAAATTAAAGCAGAAAACGGCGTCGCAACAGCTAACGAAATGCAAGTGGACAAAACTATGCAGTATGACCTTCTTCTGCTGGATACGAAAACAGTTAAGAAGTTGCAAATCAGTTAACACGAGAATGAAGAAGAGAAAGATGAAGTTGTCATAAGATTTTTACCGGCTAAATTTGATATGTCTTGGCGTCCGGTAACAATTTAAGAGCTAAATTTTATGTGTCATTGGATGTATAAAGAACTGTATAAAGCATCTTGTGTGGTTAAGTTTCTGTAGATTTCTTCTTCTCCTTTTCAGTATTGTAATCTTCCTCTGTTTTTAGTTCTTCTCTTGTATCTGTCGCTCTTTCCATCTTCTTATTCAATAAGATGAATTCAGTTAAATTTTTCATGGTATCAGAGCAATGCTGCGCAGGTTTATTCAATTTCTTTTTTTGATTTGCTGCTTTTTCTTCCTGCAACTTATTACTGATTGATTTGGAGTTTTTCCTTTCTTTCTTTTCAATCGATTGCTGTTTTCTTTGATCTCCCTGATTTGTTGTTAGTTCTTCCATCTCATTCTTAATCTTTGATCCTGTCATTCTTACTTTCTTTCTTTAATTTTGTTAAAATGGCTCAAAATGACTATTTGACAAATCCTTCTAATCCATTCTATCTGCATCCAAATGAAACGCCTGCTTTAGTTCTTGTTTCAGTTCCATTGAATGATTACAACTATCATTCTTTCATTCTTGGGCCAGAGCAATGAAAATAGCGCTAGCCTCCAAAAATAAGGCTACGAGGTTTGTTACTGGGAGCGATACCTGCACCAGTTGATCAGAATAGTGAATTGTATAATATCTGGAGCAGATGCAATACAATGGTGATTTCTTGGATCCAGAAGGCTGTGTCTCCAAACATTGCACAGAGTATCTTGTGGATAGACAATGCCTCAAAAGTATGGAGAGATTTACAAATCAGATTTTCTCAAGGGAATAATTACAGAATAGCTGATTTGTTAGATGAAATTTCAAGTCTTAAGCAAGGAGATTCCACTGTGAATGATTTTTACACACAGCTTAAGATCCTATGGGATGAGCTGTTGGTTCTTAGACCAATACCTGCTTGTACGTGTGTTAATGCATGTAACTGTGGAGCAGTTACACAATACAGAAGAAACTGGTTCTTAGACCAATACTTGCATGTACGTGTATCAATGCATGTAATTGTGGAGCAGTTACACAATACAGAAGAAACTTTGAGAATGAACAAGTCATAAGATTCTTAGGAGGCTTAAATGAGAGATTTGAGTCTGTTAAATCTAATGTGTTAATGATGGATCCTCTTCCTGATTTAACTAAAGTTTTCTCGATGGCAATACAGCAAGAAAGGCAGATTAATTATAGTTCACAATCTGAGTCAAAGATTATGCTCAACAAGTCTTATAGACCAAGTTTTGGTGCTAAAAGTTTTCCACAGTAGACATCCAGAGGACAAAGGTTTCCTGCACAAATTAATACAACAAGAAAATGCACTTTCTGCAATGGAACTAATCATACTATAGACAGTTGCTACAAGAGAATTGGCTATCCTCCAGGATTCAAGCCAAGAAACAATTACAATTCAGGGAGATCAAATGTGATTGCAAATGCAGCAGTCAATGCAGTTTATGGAGATCAACAGAATCCTTCTTATTATCAAAATGCAAGTGAATTTTATGATCCTAACTCTAATGTGTTTCCTATTCAAGCTGTGGAGAATAACTTCACAAACTTGTGGAGAATAACTTCACAAACTGTTCAAGGAGTGCAACTCAACAACAACCATCTGAAGCAACTATTTCTTTTACACCAGATCAATATAACAAGATTATGACACTCATTAATCAAGATTCAGCAGATGGCACAGCACATACAATCAATAGAGAGCATGCAGTCAACAGCATCATAGCAACCAATGATCAACAATCAGCAATTTCCATATCTACTCAAACACAGAAAACAGGTATATTAAAATCTGTATCTAATTCTGTGTGGATTTTGGACAGTGGAGCTACAGACCATATATGCAAGTCTCTTGATATGTTTACAACTTTTAAAAGAATTTCACCAATAAAAGTAAAGCTGCCAAATGGAGAATACCTATTAGCTCATTTTTCTGGCACTGTTGTTTTTTCAGAAGTATTTTCCCTTAAAGATGTGCTGTATATACCTGGATTTGCTTTCAATCTTGTCTCAGTTAAAAGCCTTATTGCTCAACTACATTGTTCACTCTTTCTCTATAATGATTTATGCCTAATCCAGGATTTCAAGACCTGGAAGATGATTGGTATAGCTAAAGTGTTCCATGGACTATACAAGTTGCTAGGCGACTAACCCGTGTTGTCCATGGACTATACCAAGTTGCACTACAAAATGAAGATCCTAAAGAAGTTTACTGGATGTTAGAACAAAATAAAAGCAGTGCTGGCTGCTACTGACATTGTTTAAGAGTATGCAGTGTTAGTAAATAAATTTTGTGACATGTTAGATTTGAGTCATGTTCCCAGTACGCATTTTAGATTTGGTCATGTTCCTAAGACCAGATTATCCATTTTATGTACCAAACATCCAGAAATTCATATGAATAAGACTGATTTACCTTGTGATATCTGCCATATGGCAAAGCAGAAGAAACTTTCCTTTCCTGTTAGTGTAACTATGTCTCAATCTCCTTTTGATTTGTTACACATGGATATATGGGTCCAGTTGGCACTATTTCTTGGACAGGGCATAGATATTTCTTGACTATAGTTGATGATCATACCAGATTCTTGTGGGTCTACCTGTTAAAGGAGAAGAGTGAAGTTAGGCCTTTAGTCAAACAATTTGTTAAGATGGTAGCAACACAGTTTGACAAAAGAGTTAAAAGCATCAGATCTGATAACAGCAGTTTGAAAAACCAGAGTTAAAAGCATCAGAGTCTGAACTAATGGGTGCAAGAATTTCTTGATGAAGGAATTACTTATGCAGCAGGAGGGGGTATTACAGTCAAAAACTAACTTGTCTAGAAACCGCCAGAGCAAAACTGCAGTTGTAAAGAACGAAAGCATTCAGCAGATACTCAAGTGTCACAAGAAAGTCTTTTGGTTTCAAAGCTATTTGCCAAGAATTTTTTGGAATTTTGCTCGTATCTGCATGCCACTATATCTCATTAATCAATCCAACTCCACTATTACACGGAATGCTGACCTCCCATATGAAAAGCTTTAGTCATAGCTACCTAGCTCAGATCTTTGCCACCTTAGAAAGGTTTTTTGGGAGCGCTTAGTGTTATTGCCAATATCTGTTTACAGGCTGGAGAAACTACAGGTAGAACCAAGAGCTCGAAAAATTGGTGTTGTTTATTAGGCTACAAAGCAGGGTAGAAAGGGTATTTGTAATCGGCTGGAAGCTTTGCATACTAGAGGGATTATTGGTTTCAAGGAATGCTTCCATATCTCTATGAAACTATTTTTCGCTTATTCAAGAAAAACAGTTTTTCAACATTAATTGGCTCGAGTGGAATGACACATATGCAGATGCAGACTATGGTTTCCTATGTCAACTGAGGATGCAGATGCAGTCACTGCAGCAGATGTAGTTGATGCTTCTATGCAAGATAATGGCTCAAGAAGATCCACAAGGACAAGGAGAGCTCCTCAATACCTGCAGGATTATCATTGTAATCTGGCATATGCTAATCAAACTATGCCTATTGCTTCTACACAGCATTCTATTTCTCAAGTGCTTACGTATTCTCAGTTGTCTCCTTCCTACAAACATTTTATTTTAAATGTTTCTTGTCTTCAAGACCCAAAAACTTATACACAAGCTGTTAAACATCTTGTATGGAGGGAAGCTATGGATAAGGAGCTTGAAGCTTTGGCTTTAAAGATAAGGAGCTTGGAACGCTTTGGCTTTTAAACAATACCCGTGGATTGTGGGTTCCCCTTCCACGCAACAGCGGTGCCCTATTGTGTTGTAAATGGGTGTATAAAACAAAATTGAAAGTAGATGGTTTTCTGTAGAGAGGCACAAGGCAAGCACTTGTTGCCGAAGGGTTCTTACAAACACAGTTGAGGGCCAAGGATATTTTTAGATACTCCTGTAGCTAAAGTTACAACTATCAGACTCCTCTTAGCTTTAGCTACAATGAAAGGGTGGTTTTTGGAGCAACTTGATGTAAATAATGCTTTTCTTAATGGGGATTTACATGAAGAAATTTATATGAAGGCTCCTTTGGGGTTACAGGTTCCTGATGGTTCAGTTTGTAAGCTGCAGAAAAGTTTATATGGCTTGAAGCAAGTCAGTAGACAATGGTTTCATAAGTTAACGACTTTTCTTGTTGCTATTGGCTATCAACAATCTCAATCAGATCACTCTCTATTCACTAAATCGAAAGGTGAACAATTTACTGCCTTTTTGATATATGTAGATGATATTGTTCTAGCAGGGAATGATTCTTCAGAGATTAGCTTAGTCAAAGCTTCTTTGGATGCTAAATTCAAGATAAAAGATCTTGGTAAGCTAAGGTACTTTCTTGGATTGGAAATTGCTAGGTGTAATCTACGGTATTTTTGGGAATTCGGAAATTGCTAGGTCAAAGGCAGGACTTGCATATATTGTTCAGAAAGGGAAAGGGTTTTTCAATGCACTAGAGATTCGCTGATGAGTATTGGAGTTTTAGGTGCTAAGCATTCCTCCTTCCTATGGATTTAGTGTCCAAACTGTCCAAGAGATGAATGGTGACTTGTTTGAATGATGTAACTGGTTAACAGAAAACTAGTGGTGCACTCTTTATCTCACTACCACAAGGCCAGACATCACCTATGCTGTCAATACCTTGAGCCAATTTCTATCTGCACCAAGAACATCTCATTATCAGGCTTTACTCAAGGTTCTCAGATATGTTAAATCTAGTCCTGGTAATGGCTTATTCTATAAAGCTAGTTCAGCACCAAAGCTCACTGCCTTTAGCGACTCTGATTGGGCAGGTTGCCTTGATACAAGGCGATCCATAACTGGTTATGGAATTTACCTGGGAGATTCCTTGATCAGCTGGCGATCGAAGAAGCAGGTGACTGTGTCCAGATCCTCTTCAGAAGCAGAGTATCGAGCTCTTGCTGTTACAACGAGGCACTCTTGCTGTTACAAACCATGTGGCATCAATGGTTGAGTATACTATTGTCATGGATCGTTGGTCAATAATATCTTTTGCACCCATCAGTATCTTTTGTGATAATCAATCTGCAATTTATCTCAACAGCTAAACCCTTGCCTTTCATGAGCGATCGAGAGCATATGCAGAGATAGGTTGCCAATTTTATTCGAGAAAAAGTTTAATTCGGCCTTGTTCCTCTTAATGCCTATTTCGCTACAAGAGCTGCAGCTTGCTGACTTGTATAACCAAATCCCTTTCCCCTTCTCGCTTTAATTTTCTCATGTCCAAACTGGGCATGTCTGACATCCATGGCCCAGCTTGCGGGGGGGTAACAGAGGTTGAAGATGCTGATGTTTTGAAGAAGGAAGCCGTTATTAGTAACGACTAGTATTAGCCAATGACACCATTTCATTATAAAAGAAAGAAAGAAATTAAAAGAAGAAAAACGGCGTCGCACAGCTAATGAATGCAGGTGACAAAACATATGCAGTATACCTTCTTCTTGCTGATAACGAAAACAGTTGAGGAGTTGCAAATCTGTTACAGTTGCAAAATACAAGTTACAGAGAATGAAGGAGAGAAAGATGAGGTATTGTCATAGATTTGTTACGTAAGCTAAATTTGATATGGTCATTTGGCGTCCGTGAAAAATAATATAGAAAGAACTGTATAAAGATCTTGGGTGGATGAAGTTTTTCTAGAGTATTTCTTCTTCTCCTTTTCAATTGTAATCTTCCTCTGTTTTTAGGTCTCTCTTGTAATCCGTCAGGCTCCTCTCCATCTTCTTTATTCAATAAGAATGAATTCAGTTAATTTTTTCAGGGATTCTTGAGGATCTGTAAATTACTGAATCATATAAAACATTAAATTCCCAATGTATAAAGAACTGTATAAAGATCTTGGGTGGTGAAGTTTTCTAGAGTATTCTTCTTCTCCTTTTCAATATTGTAATCTTCCTCTGTTTTTAGGTCTCTCTTGTATCCGTCGCTCTCTCCATCTTCTTATTCAATAAGATGAATTCAGTTAATTTTTTCAGGGATTTCTTGAGGATCTGTAATTACTTCATATAAACATTAAATTCCCACTTTGTATAATCCTATGGCAATCAAAAATACCCTTAAAGACAAGAAATTAACTGTTGCTTATTCAAGCGTCATCCCCCTTGAAACCAAACGCATTGTCGCTCACTTGAATTGCTTTCATTATTGGAGGAAACGATCAGTCCAAATTGATTCTAATTCTGTTGTGGGAAACGCATTCTGATTGGCGAATAACTCACTTGCCTTTTACATGATTCGTCGTTCAGTTGACCAGAAGTAATCCTTGGCTAACGCTGGGTCCAAACTATGTAAACTAAACGACTTCGTCGTTCACTACTAACTCACCAGCATGTTAACGACCTGTCGTTCATTAAACCCGAGTAGTCCTTTTCAAACGACCGGTTCAAACTTAATTTTTAAACCAAACGACTAAGTCCCAACTTTGAGGTAGGGAAACGGTGCGTTCAGAAGACTGCCTTGTTTCCACTGTTAACTGTATCATCTCCACGCTCAGTCTATGGGTCTATCTACAAGCTCAAACAGAAGCAGGAAAATGGAGAACTATTTCAGTTTGCAATTTCAATTTGATTCTATTAAAGAGAGCTACTGTGCTTATAAAAAGGCAGCTTCTGCCATGTAAGTTTTCTTTTATTTTCCTCTCTTAAATTTCTTCAAATCATCTTTACATTTTCTAATGGCCACCCATTTTTCCCTTAGCTCTTCACTATACCCCCAAACCCACAAATTGCTGTTGAATCCACGCGATTACCCTTTCATTTCATGCCAAAAACAAGACCGAAGTCTTGAAAATGATAGTGAAACCAGTAAAACGCGTAAAGCTAATAAAACCGATTTCAATTTTCTGACAATACCCATAACTCTAACTGTAATCTCCACTTCTTTGCCGGCGAAGCCCGTACTTGCTGCAGCAGCAGCGAAGACTGGCCACAAAAGGAAAACCCATAAGAAAGCACCACCAGAAACCTTAACCCCAGACCAGCTTAAACAATGGTCTAAAGATCTCCCAATTGTATCAAATCGAATGCCATATACTGAAATATTGAGTTTTAAAGAAACCAACAGGCTTAAACATGTAATTAAAGCGCCCAAGGCTTGTTTGAAAGAACGGGCGGAGGCTGTTTTAGTGGTTTTAGATGATAATCAAGTTTTTAGGACTGTTTTGCCTTCAATGGAGAGTAATAAGAGGTTCTGGGATTCATGGGATGAGTTAAAAATTGATGCTTTGTGTGTTAATGCATACACTCCTCCTGTTAAGAAACCAGAGCTGCCTAAACCATATTTAGGATTTTTGTGGAAAGTTCCGGAGTTTATGTTATCAAAGTTTAAGCCTAAGAAGGAGTCCAAGAGAGCTATGGAGTTGAGGAAAGCAAGAGAGGAGTTTAAAAGGCAAAGGAAAGAGGAGTTGGAAAGAATGAGAGAGGAAAGAGAAATGATTGAAAAGGCAATAAAAATGCAAAAGAAAGAGGAGCAAAGAAGGGCAAAGAAGGAAGTCAGGAAAAAGAAGTATGAGGAGTCGTTGCGTGATGCACAGAGGAACTACACGCGGATGGCAAATATGTGGGCTGATTTGGCACAGGACTCAAATGTAGCCACATTGCTAGGATTGGTGTTCTTTGTGATATTTTATAGGACAGTGGTGCTTAGTTATAGAAAGCAGAAGAAGGACTATGAAGATAGGCTGAAGATTGAGAAGGCTGAGGCAGAGGAGAGAAAGAAAATGAGAGAGTTGGAGAGGGAGATGATGGGGATTGAGGAAGAGGAAGAGGATGAGAGTGAGCAAGGGAAAGCAGAGCAAAATGCTTATTTGAAGATGGCTATGCAGTTCATGAAGTCAGGTGCACGAGTTAGGCGTGCACATAATAGGAGATTGCCTCAGTATTTGGAGAGAGGCGTAGATGTGAAGTTCTCAGATGTTGCCGGGCTTGGGAAGATAAGGCTTGAACTTGAGGAGATTGTGAAGTTTTTCACACATGGGGAAATGTATAGGAGAAGAGGAGTGAAGATACCAGGTCAGATTTTGAAAACTGTAATAAGTTATTTTCACTTTATGGCACTATTCTGATTTCTACTAGATGTATTTTGTGATGTTTTTCTGAGTGGCAGTTTAATTTATATATTTTCTCTCCTTTGTTTGTGATCAGGAGGGCCTTTAAAGCTATCACATTATTTGTAATTTAGTTGCAAGAAACACCACTCTTTTGCTTTACTTGTTATGGGGTCATATTAATGTGTAAAGTTGAGAGTGAAATTATTCAAATAGACTTACCTTTGTGTGAAAGTGTTTTAGCAAAATAGCAAACCAGTGATCTTAATCTTCTGTGTTCTATTATGTTTTGCCCTGACCGGGAGAGGGTTAGTGTAATAACTTGTACAATATCGTATAAAACACTGCGCTTTTTTCTACTTCTTGTGAGATCACTTCCATGCAATAAATTTGATCTAATTAAGTTATCAGGTTGATTTTGGAACAGATTTATTCCATGATAATATTATTGGGAGGAAGAGAAAAAAATTTGGAGTGAAGAGTCATAGAATATAACTGCCCTAAGCTTTGTATGAATTTTTTTATTCTTGCTTATTTCCTTTTGTAAAGCTATTTCCATCTTCTATCACTTGTGCATGACATATTCTGCTTGAATTGGTTTTACTGTCAGGTGGCATACTTCTTTGCGGGCCTCCTGGGGTGGGGAAAACTTTACTGGCAAAAGCTGTGGCTGGTGAGGCAGGTGTGAACTTCTTCTCCATTTCTGCATCTCAATTTGTGGAAATATATGTTGGAGTTGGTGCTTCCCGAGTCCGATCACTTTACCAAGAAGCAAAGGAAAATGTAAGTGTTGTCTTCAGCTGCTGCATTGCACTTTTTTTCATAACTAGTACTTCCAAATAAGGTTCTGCAATATCATAGTTTTGAATAGCTGATAATAATGTCTGACATCATTGTTGATTTCCTTTTATGTTTTTGATTGAAGTACTGGATATCATACTAGAGCTTTATCATTTAATTAATTAACCTTTGAACATAAAATTTTGTTTCAGAATGCTACACCTTTCTTAATATTCTCTTTTATCTAAATCTTTCTGAAGCCAATATTTTTTTTCAAGCTTCTGATGCTTTTATCAGAAACAGATGGCTTTCAACAGCAATCATATATATTCTTGTTTGTGTAGGCACCATCTGTCGTCTTCATTGATGAACTGGATGCTGTTGGAAGGGAGCGTGGCTTGATTAAAGGGTCTGGTGGACAAGAACGTGATGCTACACTTAATCAGGTTGGTCATGACATTTATCATGTTTATAATGCAGGACAGTTGATGTTGTTATTGCAAGTTAAATCTCTATCTGGGGATTCATGTTCAGTGATCGTAAATTTCAGCTCCTTGTATGCTTAGATGGGTTTGAAGGAAGAGGGGAGGTGATCACTATTGCTTCCACTAATAGACCAGACATTTTAGATCCAGCATTAGTAAGACCTGGACGGTTTGATCGGAAAATTTTTATTCCCAAACCTGGCCTTATAGGCCGCATGGAAATTCTGAAGGTGATGTGATATATTCATCTGTTTTCATGTTCTACTGTTATGGTTCTGCTTGGGTTCAAAGTTTGCCAGCTTCCATTTCTTCTGTTTGATTTTTTTCTTGTCCAATATTGTAATTAGGTTCATGCTCGTAAGAAGCCTATGGCTGATGATGTGGACTACATGGCTGTCGCTAGTATGACAGATGGAATGGTTGGTGCTGAGCTGGCCAACATAATTGAGGTTGCTGCAATTAACATGATGCGTGATGGAAGGACTGAGGTAGTGCCTCCTTTTTAGATAGTTGTCCTCTTTATTGTCCGGTCACTATGATTAGACTTCTTGACCAACTTGCTAAGAGGAGTTGTGAGAAATTGTATAATATGAAACTTCGATAGTTTTACAATATTTTATGAAAAGATAGAAACTGCAAAGAAAGTGAGATGCCAAGGTCTGAGATTAAAATTGTTGGAGACAATGGAAACTCTTCTTTTGAATTCTCCACTTGATAAGGCAGTAATATTATCTTCCCCGGATGTTATTTTTAAATTTTTACTAATACTATATATGAGTTCATTTGTGCGTTTGTTGACTTTTTAGGAGGTAAAAATGCAAGGGGCAGACCAAGTATGTTGTGGTGGGAAGTGGTGAAAAAATTAATGAAGTGGCACCAGATCAAAATAAGTTATAGTCTGAAACGGGGTAAAATGGAGTAAAAGGAGTTGTGTCTGACCTAACTAGTTTTGAATTAAGGACCAGTTAAGTTGAGTGACTTAGTTACCTTACTGTCAAAAATTATTTTGCTAATCATTTGTTTTGCTTCAGTATCTTGATATTTAAATTTAATAATCTCCCTGTGGATTGTACATGTAAGTGAAGAATTTACTGTGTGCAGATTACAACTGATGACTTGCTACAAGCCGCACAAATAGAAGAGAGAGGAATGCTAGATAGGAAGGAGAGAAGCCCTGGCACATGGAAACAAGTAGCTATCAATGAAGCAGCCATGGCTGTTGTAGCTGTGAACTTTCCTGATCTTAAAAATATTGAGTTTGTACGGTCTTTAAACTTTGCGATCTCTTTATTGGATACACTAGGTTATACTTGCATGTGGATGCATAAATCATGCCTTGTTTAGAGTGAGATTTTGTTGATGATCCATTACAATAATATTTGTAGTCATTAATGGTAAATAAAAAGGGGCATAACCCAATGCTTGTTTAAATGCATCATCAGTAGCGTAGTTGTACATAGCATTACAACTTTTCTCTTGCACATATCTTTAGTCAGTAGACTTTGCTAGCCTAGACCTCTTAAATGGATAGTTGAATTGCTATACCAATTGCATTGCATTTCAATGGACAATAGAACTACGCAATGAGAAATTACTGAAAATAACGTGACATGATAGATTAACTTTTTTTTTTTTTTTTTTTTTTTTTTTCTTAAATGATAGTTGAAATTGCTATAACAATTGGCTTGCATTTCAATGGAATATAAACTACGCACAATGAGAAATTACTGAGAAAGTAACGTGACACGAATAGATTAACTTTTTGTTTTTTTTTTTTTTTTTTTTTTGGCTTTAGACCAGGTCACAATCTGCTCCTAGACTGGCAGGGAGCTTGGTATGTTGCTGTGGGATGAAAATGGATCACATCAAATTTAAGGAGGGAAATGCTTAGGTATATTTTTTTTTTTTTTTTTTTTTTTTTGGCTTTATGACCAGGTCACAATTGCTCCTAGATCTGGCAGGGAGCTTGGTTATGTTCGGATGAAAATGGATCACATCAAATTTAAGGAGGGAATGCTTAGGTATATTATCCTTTGTATATTTTTTAATTTGCTTTTATTGTTCAGAGGAGTATCAAAACAATAAGCAACACTCCAAAAATATGTTTCAAATAAAAGCAACCATGCAAACTGTGGTTGATGCAACCATGCATTATCCTGAAAAGCTAGTTTTCTAATGGTACCGAGTCACCTCAAGTGATTTCATAATTTTCACTCATGTAGTTGTTCATTGAATTTCTTTAGGGAGTTATATCTGATGTCTTTCCATATCATCTTATTCTCATATAATACAGTCGGCAATCCCTTCTGGATCATATCACTGTTCAACTGGCACCTCGTGCAGCTGATGAGCTTTGGTTCGGTGAGAGTCAGGTAAAGAACCTTTTTTTACTATATATCTGTGTTGCTCCGCATCTTGGACTTAAATTCTTGTGCAGAAAGTGGTCATTACAGTGTGATGCTTGTCTTTTATGATAGGACCTGAACATGCCTAGTTACTATAAAACAGGGAAAATTGGTGTAGTCAGAAAGGAAATTATGGTATATGACAACCAGCAATTTTTCAAATGTTAAGTTTCTTGAGAAAATGAATTTCCTTGTAAAAATCATTTGAAAAGATATGGCAAAATCTTGTGTTCTCTTCAGTTGTATCAGATCAGCCACGGCTTTCAAACCACTGTATACTGTTCCATAATTCAAGCCTCAAAGCCGATAAGACCCCAAGATGCAACAGCATAGTATTGAATCTCAGCATGTTTAGTGTTTTCAATATGATTGCTATCTGGTTTGCCACATGATTGTTTTGTTATTTGTTTACTGGGACTTGCATTCTACTAATGTAACATCATTTTTCATTATGTGAATGATCTGCTAAAACTTGCCCTATTATGTGAAATTTTTCCAGCTGAGTACAATATGGGCAGAAACAGCAGACAATGCTAGGTCAGCAGCACGAACCTATGTCCTTGGTGGCCTTTCAGAGAAGCATCATGGCCTGTTTGACTTCTGGATTGCAGATCGAATTAATGTTTGTCAATGCTCATTTCTATGCCTTAATTACTGATTTAAGAACTGTGGATAAAATTTTTATTCCTTCATTATCATTTATTAACCAAGCTGAAAATTATGTTTTTGCCATTTCTGCCCAGCTAGTTGCAGACTGAAAATGGCTCAAAACATGACATGCACTTTTTATTCTCCATTAATTTTTATAGAATTTCCATCATCTATCATATGGATACCATTTGCTGATGCTTTATCTAATGGAGAATTGAAAATTGCAGGAAATTGATTTAGAGGCATTACGGATTTTGAACTCGTGTTATGATCGTGCAAAAGAGGTATTCCATATTAATTTTCAACAATAAACTAATCTGCAACTTGCTAATTTTCTTATATGAATCTGCTTCTGTAACAGATTCTGCAACAGAACAGAAAACTGATGGATGCAGTTGTTGATGAACTTGTTCAGAAGAAAAGTTTAACCAAGCAAGAATTTTTTCACCTAGTTGAGTTGCATGGTTCTATTAAACCTATGCCACCAAGTATACTTGATCTCAGGGTTGCCAAGCGTGCAGAGTTTCAAGAAATAATGATGAACCAGAAGGAAACAACCGCGAGCAATTTATAAGCAATATGCTAGGAGAACCCATGTGGCAACAGACTTGATCTTTGCTTGGGGTGGCAATGGGGGATTAGCCACGGTGAGCAGAGCAGTCATTACGTTGAATGATGGTGCAAATTGCTGAATAGCTGTGGTTGTATCTCTGTGAAGTCAACTTTGACTGAGAAATTTAAACATGCCAAAGTTATCAATTTCTGGTAAATTGGTACACAGCACGCAGAGACAATGGGGGATGTGTCGAGGGAAACTGAGTTGGGGTGTTTTGACATTACTCTGACCTTAGTTGGGGTGTTTTGGCGAGAATTGATTCAATTTTGTTATTGTTTATGATCCAATCATTAAATAGAAATCCTTCGCTTTGCTATTCCATGAATTATAGTAACAAAACCAGTTGAAGTGTTTTGTCATTTGATGGAGTTACCAGACTGAAAAATGTTGAAACTGTAATTGAATCAATTTTATGGTAATGGCTCTTTGAGAGCGCCTCCTATTGCTTTGTTTTCTTTCAAGTTGAAGCTTTTTAAGAGTGTGGAGTTACTTGCCAAATTCTAACTTGCATAGCATTTGTAAATCTCCTTCATGCCACCATCTACACAGCTGAAAAACAAACTAATGTGACTGGTTATGTATATGATAAATATGCACGTTTATCTGATCTACTTTTTTATATGTTCACAGGCTAATATTTCCGATTTATTTCAAGGATTTTCTTATTCACCCCAACCATTTAAAACCTTTAACAAAAAGTGGCTTAATAAGCAAAAGTATATTAAACTTTATGTATTAAGAGAACAAGCAGAAGATGAAACAGGGGAAACAGGGCAAAGAAGAAAAAACAGAGAACTTTATGGTAATAACAAAATTACAGAAGAATAAAGAGCAAGAAAGAAGAAGAAGATGATGGCGATGGTATGCAAAGGCTGTATTTCTAGAGATTTGTGTATCTTATTCCCTCCTCGTATGCGCCCTTGTTCATGCAAAGCTTGTGAAGATTCTTTTTTTTTTTTTTTTTCTTTCCCTGTTTGTTCAACGAGAAAAAAGGTCAGCATTGAGGCTTTAATAGAAGATTTTCTAGGCTTCAAAATTTTCCAGGAGAAGTGAAAGGGAAAGAAAATTAGAATGGGAATGGACATTGGGTACTTAAAAATTAGAAAAATTAATAAAACACGTGTAAATTTCAGACTTTCGAAAATGTCAAAATTCCAATAAGCGCACCACTTCACTTCTGTTAAAAACTTTTAACCGCCTTCACAACTTGAAAGGCACGTTCACTCTCCAACTATCCATAGCTACTGCTAACCGCCAACCCAACACGTTTTTTGAAAATAACAATAAAAGAAAAAACTACCCACTACTCACCGGTCACCATGCTCTATATAAATCTCTTCGATCAATCACTCCCTACAAATATTACATTTAATTGCAGTAACTTTAGCTCCTACATTCTCTGATCAGTATATCTATTCTCGCTTTCCCAGAAAATGAAGATCAATAACGTTGTTTCTCTTATGGGACTCTTCTACATTTGTTTTCTAGCCTTTTTAGTAACCGTGTATGGTTATGCTGCTGATGCAGCAAGAGTCTTCAAAGTTGGTGATGAATTGGGATGGCAAGAACCTGAAGACAATAACACTGCACTGTATAGCAAGTGGGCTGCAAGTAACAGATTTCGAGTTGGAGATTCTCTCTGTAAGTTCTTGATTTCATATTTCATACTTTCTTGAATTTGAAATTTTCAAGTTATTGATTTTTCTTTTGTTTGCACTGCAGTATTTGAGTACAAGAATGACTCTGTTATTGAAGTTGAGAAATGGGGTTATTACCACTGCAACACAAGCAACCCCATTGTTGCCTTTAACAATGGCAGGAGTACTTTCAATCTTGAGAGATCAGGACCATTTTACTTCATTAGTGGGTTTTCTGATCACTGCAAGAATGGGCAACGTTTGATTGTTGAAGTAATGGGTCTGCACCACCAAAGATCATATTCTCCACCATCTATGGCGGCTCCACCTGAATCTTCTTACTTAGCACCATCACCACAGCCAAGTTCAGGGGCAATCGTCAATCAAGGATTTTGTTCAATTCTAATTACAACATTAGTAGCTTTAGTTTGGTCATTTTTGTTTTAGTTATTTGGTATTGAATTCTTTGTCAGTGTCAGATTCCAGCTGTCGGAATCCTTCTGTTTCTGATCAATTTGTGTTTGAGTCATTTGCTTAATTACCTGGAACATAATTTTTTTTATTTGAATATTAATACAAAGATGAGTTAATTGTGCCAAGTATGGTTCTAGATTTTTAGTATGGGTGATACCCAATAGAAATGGAACTTTCAACATCAGAATTGGAGGATTCAAATTGAACACCATCTTCATTGCTGAATTTCTCTGCTTCAAACTGAATTCCTCCTTCAACAAGTGCATCTTTTCCAATATTGACAGCTAACATATTATTTTTCATTTTGCGTTTTTCTTTCTTCCATTTGAGTTTCCTTAACCAATGTCGAGCCAACTTAAATCCCAAAAAGATAAAAACAGTTGCCATACTCCCTGCACTTATAGCCAGCAGAATGTCAAGCACCCATCCTCTTTTTCCATCTTGTGGCAGTAGTACCCATGAAGCCGCAACAAAAGCTGTTGCCATGAAAGACATAGCTACCCACATAACCTTGTGAATAACTACCATTAGCTTCATTAATTTTTTCCTCTCAAATGGTATGATGCTAACTAGAACTATTACAATGCACAAAGCTGTAAACAATGCAATGCTGTTACATACAGCAAAAATCTTGAAAGCTGTTTTTCCACCAACTGTTGATTGCCCTTTATCAATTCCTTCTTGATTGACACCTCCAGGTGGGTTTAAACCAACAGTAAAAGTAACTGATGCAATCAAAATGGCTACTACTATTATTGTGTTTCGCGCATTTAATAGTGCTTCTCTATGTGCTTTATACTGTTTATTGCGGTGATTTCTGTGCAACTCCCTTAGTTCTTTCATTCGCCTCTTGCTTTGATGCTTGTATCGTTCTTGCAATTCAATTCTTGCTGAGGTTTCTATTTCTGATGTACCATCCTCGATATCAGATTTCTCAATAACTTGATTTACAGGCTGGGTTTTGTTTGGCTCGTTGTTGATAACATTTCGAGTAATTAAATACTGCTCAGATGCATCTCTGAGCTGGAACGTCACATTCTGATTAATTGAAGTTTGAACTTCAAGTAGCATGGGATCAAAGCTTACTTGAGTTGAGTTGATCACAGTGTTCTGATTTGTGTTAACCTCTTCAGATAAAAGTGATGGCATTCCATTAGTCTTCACGTCACTAGCTTTGATCAACATTTCTCTGATGAGGTTGGTGTTATCAGTGACTCTAGTCCGGTTGACAAGGTCAAGCGCAGTATATCCTTGATGGTTTTCAAGATTGACATCAACTTTTGCTACATTGATTATGTAATCAATTAGCTAGCAAATTTGAACAGAACAAGTAGGGTTAGATACTTGGTCAAGTGATTCAAGAACAAAGCTTTAAGAATTTGCAGACAACCGGATAAAATAGCTCTCTGGATACTTACATTGTAATTATTGTTTGCAGAAACAGCAAGATGTAAAACTGTATTACCATGTTGATCTGGCTGGTGGAGAAGATGAGTGTTTGTGGAAATCCTTCCCATGCTAATGAAGGCATTATATTTACCAAATTTAACAGCAAGATGAAACACTGTTTGCTTGTTTTTCGCGAGATACTCAAATGCTGCTGGAGCATTTGAAATAAACTCAACAAGGATAGCATCGTCACCTTTTATTACTGCCAAGTGAACAGGTGTGTAGCCATTTTTGTTGAACACCTTGGCACTATCAGGAACATACTCCAAAAGAATTCTTGCAATCTCCAGAAGACTCTTTTGACAGGCATAGTGCAATGGCACACACCCGTCCTTGTCAGTCATCAAAGAAAAATTTGGCCTCCTTTCTAATATTGCCTTCACAATCTCTGTTTTAGAAATAAGTAAAATTAGGGTTAAACACCAATAAATTCCAAAGAATTTCATTTAAGCTAATGAAGATGACAACTTACTTATGTTTCCTGCTGATACTGCCTCGTGGAGACAAGTTGAGTCTATCCCATCTTCGGTGTCCAGCCATTGTTGATTCAGAAGGAGCTTAACAATATCAATATGCCCCAAACTACAAGCTATGGAAAGTGGGCTCTTGTTCATATTGTTAAGTGTAGAAGCCGCCCATGGATTGGTCTCTAACAGCAGCAAAATTATATCAGCATTTCCTTTTCGACAGGCTTCATGATATGGCGTCTCACCTCTAACATTCTTGGCTCCAACTAAGTGAGGACACAACTTAACTAATTCTCTAACCACTTCTGTCTGCCCAAATCTTGATGCCAGGTGCAATACTGTGGTCAAAGTATCTGAACTTCTGTCAAAAACCTCTATACCTTGTTCAGCTAACCTTCTAATTCCAACTATATCATTTCTTTCAATGGCTTCTATTAGTCTTGAATCCATTAATTATATTCAAGACAAATTAAAGAGCTCCCTTCTGCTTATATAACTATATTGGTAGGAGATTGGAAGAGAATTAGAAACATTATGGGCTCTAAATATATTCTGTCTCTTTTTTGTTCATCGTCATCAATTTCTTGTAACATTCCAGGAATTCTTCGTTGTATCTTCCTTGAAGATATCCTCTCTTCCTCCTCCTTTCCAATGGACCCAGCCACCCACTCCCAGGCACAGCGTTCTCTCCATTATTTCTTTTGGCGGCATGTATAGCAAATAAAAAACAAAGACTTTTCCTTAAATAAAACAAAATGAAACAAAGACTTTGATCCGTGTGGTTCGTTTTTAATCTAAGTCTATAGCCCTCCATTTGATATAGAAAAAAAAAAAAAAAAAAAAAAAAGTTATTATATTTCAAGGTACAAATTAAAGAGCTATCATATCACTCGACTTCTGCCTTATATAACTATATTTTTGGTAGGATATTGAAGAGAATTAGAAAACATATATGCGGCTCTAAAATATATTCTGTACTGCTTTCTATTGTTCAATCGTCAAATTCAAATTTTCTTGTAACATATCCAAGGAATTAACATTCGTTGTATCTTCCTTGAAGATATCCTCTCTTCCTCCTCCTTCCAATTGGACCCAAGGCCAACACCACTCCCAGGACAGCAGTTCTCTCCAATTATTTCCTTTTGAGCGGGCATGGTCATTATAGATAATACACAGAAAACAAAGACTTTTCACTTTAAATAACAAAATGAAACAAATTACTTTTGATCCGTATGTGGTTCGGTTTTTAATCTAAGTTCTTATAATAGCCCTCCATTTGATAATAGAAAAAAAAAAAAAAAAAAAAAAAAAAAAAAAAAAAAAAAAAATGAAAGACCGAAAGCAGCTGAACCAGGGGGGAAGAAAAAGGAAACTGACCCGAAACTTTGCGTTTTAAATTTAGAATTGTGCATTTTTGGAATAACTGGGAGTTACAACATGGTAGTTGGAAGCAAACAATTTCTCAGTTCTTGGGAAACAAAATTTAGTGAAATGAATTAAACTTCATACTCGATATGTTTGATTTAAAAAAAAAAAATTGAATTACAAAAGGAATGAATGTAGATGAGTAGAACCAAAATTAATGAATACACGTTTCTAAGATACTGTTAGCACTATTTTTCTGTTTTAAACTTACCCAAAGGACCCTAAATGTCTCTCTCCGTCTCTCTCTTTCTTATATTCTTTTTAATTTTGTTTCTAAACCACCGCCATCTTCTTTGATCTACGGGAGGTGATTTATTTTCTTTTTAATAATTTTTAAATTTATAATCGTTTGGAATGAAATTTGGATTTATTCTTATAGCTATGTGAATCTTGAGTGTTTTTGCTACCCTTTTAGTTGGGTTATTAATTTCTTTCCTTATCATGGGATTATTCCTCATTGTTGAAGAGTTTTTATATGAATCTTTTATTTCTCAAGTAGTTCGAGAATCAAGATAGATTATTAATTGTTTGTAGTTAGAGACTTTAGATCTTTAAATTTGGGTAAGTTTTCTTTACCAATGGAGCCTGCGACCTATCCCTCCATTTCTCAGGGTTTGGTATATTAAACTCTTGTATGAGCATCAATTGTAATAAGTTTCCAAAAAAATAAGATAATATCGTGGAAGGTTTTTTTTTTGTCATTCTATTTGAAAATGGACAATATTATGATGTATTTGACTTATATCATTATTAATGAATTATTAAGTTTTTTTTATGTATTTGACTTATATCATTATTAATGAATTATTAAGTTTTTTTTTTTAAAAAAAACATTTTGAATTCATTCGAGAAATTTGATTTCATTGAATTATCATAATTAAACCCAATTTTTATTAGGATTGTATAGTTTCAATTTCAATATGGTTCTTGAGAATAATATTAGAATCGGTTCCTTGTATTCTTTTAGATGTTCCTTCGGATTAAGAAAAAAAAAAGGATTATAATACAATAATTAATTTGTTTACCATCAAAATATAATATAAACTGTAGTAATAAAAATAATTTATTGTTAATCATAAAGTAGTATAGATATACTACCATAAAATTAACTAATACTTGTATAAATTATTTATTGTGAAAACATAATATATACTGCGATATCAATCATTGTAGAACAATTAAATAACATTGACATAACACCCGCATGCTATGATGACTAAAATCATTACTATAAATTAGTCGGTGAAAAAAAATATGATTTAGAAATAAATTAAATATAAAATATTTTATTTTTGTAAGTAGATATTGTCATACAACTAAATTTGATAGGTAATTTATTTGATAATTGGATATATATTTAAATTGTTAATTATTGTAAAGAATTGTATATACATTTATAAATTATGATGTTGTTAGAAAATTAAATGTAATAAGACATAGTAAGTTATCAATTATGCAGCTTTCAGATTACAAGGATCTGTTCTTGCAAAATCAAATCTTCATTTTTGGCTATTCTTTTTTGTCTAATTAAGAAATACAAACATTAGTATGTATGGTATCCTAAAGAAGTGGAGCTATCAACATCAGAATTAGTGGATTCAGACAGGTTTTCTCCTTGTTTGGATTTTTTGTGCTCTAAATGCAATCCTTTCTTTCTACCATTTTCTTTCCTCCACCTCAACTTTCTCAACCAGTGTTTGGTTATGAGAACTCCTAGATAAAAGCACACAATTCCAAATGTTCCGGAACTGATAGCTAGAATTGCCCCAAGCAACCATCCTGTCCCATGACCTTGTGGCAAAATCACATAGATGGATGCAACAAAAGCTACTACCATGAATGATACTGCAACCCACATTAATTTGTGAGTTATGGCCAATAGCTTCATCAGTTGCTTTCGTTGGAAAGGGATAATGCTAACTAAAACAATGACAATAGACAGAGATGTAAATAATGCAAAACTGTTGCTTATTGCAAATATCTTAAAAGCAACTGTTCTTCCCACGGTTGATTTTCCTTTCAGTGGTCCTGCTTCTGCTTGGTACACACCTCCAGGTGGGCTTATGCCAGCAGTAAATGTGACTGTGGCAATCAAAATAGCAACCAGTATAATTGTGTTCCTAGCATTTTGAAATGCTTCCCTATGTACTTCGTATCGCTTATAACGATGACTTGTGAAAAGGTTAGCCAGTTCATTCCTGTGTTTTTCACTGAGATGCTTCTGTTGCTGTAGATTGTTCGGCGTATTTTTGGCTTCCTTCAAGGATTCGGGTTCAGATGAACTGTCATCTTCAGTCTCAACTTTCTCTTTGGATTGAAGCTTGTGCAAACCATTTGTTGAGGTGACTTCCGCAGTTAGTGCAGGCGAGCGTCCTAGAGACTTACTGAGATGCTTGTGCTTAAGCAAATTGGTTGGTAAATCCATTCTTTCCATCAGGCATTCTGGATAAGATGGATCATCTTCTTGGTTAAGCAAACTGGTTATTGGGTTTCGCTTCCCCCTTGATTTATGCTTACTCCTAAACTGAAGAAGACTTGTGATTTTTTCCTCAAGTACAGCTTTGGGGTCTTCAACTGTCTGAATTTCTTCTGGATTAGCTTTTTCAGTATCTGTCATGGGCAATTCCATGCTCCGAGAGAAGTATTTTTCTAGCTCTAGCTTATCAGATGGCAATTCCATGCTCATATTAAGCCCGGTTGTCTTTAACATTTCTTTAATTAGCGTCTTAGCTGTTCTACTCCCAATCTCTTCAATCATGTCTAAAGCTGTTTGTCCTTTATTATTCTGACAATGCACGTCCACTTTTGCAGTCAAGATGAACTCCACTAACTGAAAGTGAGTTTCAAAGAATTGATATTACTCAACAATTCAAGTATAGAATGATACCAAAAAAGCACAAGTCTTCTTTTATGTTGTGTTTTTATGTTCCCACAAAATCTGTGTGCCTGTGATAAAATCAACAAGTGAAAGAATGATGCCTGAAGGTTTCCTGTAGAAACTGCTAGATGAAGTATGGTGTTACCAGCTTGGTCTTGTTGGTGTAGAAGGTGAGATATATCAGAAACCTCTGCTAAACGAATGATTGAATTATATCTATTGAATCTTACAGCAAGATGAAAAATTGTTTCTCCCTTCTTTGTGAGACAATGAAGCGAACTGGGAGAGGCAGAAATGAATTGTTCAAGGATTCTTACATAACCATTAATCACGACCAAGTGCAATGCTGTAAACCCATCGTTATTGTACTGCAAAGCAAGGTCTGGATCAGCACTCAATAACATTTTAGTTATACGAAGCTGTCCTCTGCTAGATGCACAGTGCAAAGGAGAAAATCCGTTCTTGTCGGTTTTTCGAGCAAAATTAGGCCGTGCTTGTGATATCTCGTTTACAATATCTGCAAAAATATATTGGTCATGAGTAAATGCAGAGATTTTCAAATAGTTGGGATTGGAGTTTATGAAATGAAATGATCATATTTTGACAATGAGATTGTATTCACCATTGTGGCCACTTGAGATCGCTACATGCAGAGGAGTTGCATATACTGCATCCTCTTCATGTTCCATCAAACAGGAGAGGTTCAACATGAGTTTCACTATATCAAGATGCCCTTCTTCACAGGCAAGTGAAAAGGCACTCTGCTTTTCTACGTTTCGCTTCGCAGCCACTAGTGGATCAATTTCTAGTAGTAGCTTTGTTACGACCTCGAAGTTCCCAAGACGACAAGCTGCATGCAATGGAGTCTCCTGATTTTTATTCACCGCTGCAACCAAATCTGGGCACAGCTTAACAATTGTCGCAACCAATTCTATATGGCCTACTCTGGAAGCCAAGTGTAACACCGAGTCCGAATTGATGGGTAATCTTCGTTCAAGAACTCTTTTATCCTGCTGAGCTATTCTTTTAAATTCAACTATATCATTTCTGAAAATGGACTCAAAAGGATTTAGATCCATTTCCTTGAGCTTGTAGAAAATCAAGAACTTTATCGAAGACTGAAAAACAAATAAAGAGGATATATTTTGAGATTGAAGTTTAAGCAAGTTCAGTTCTGGAAAGATATGACATGTTTAGTGATTTTACAAATTTTTATATAACTTGCCAGTTTCAAGAAATGGACATTCCTGCATTTCCGTTCAAGTTCCAGGCATCCTCAAGAAGACTTTGTTCCTTTGGTCCAACCTAAGTCTTTGCCAAATGGACCCAAACATTTTGACTTTAATGTTCAAATGGGTCCAACCTAAATTTGGGCTAGTTTTGGGGGAAATATGCGTACATGGAGTCGCGATTCATGAAACTCAAAACATATTTTAAATATGGGGGCAAAAATGTAACTTTAAATCCGTCCTGTCCTCAACATTTCCAAGAAAGACTATGTAATTTACTATTAAGGGGCCCAAAAAATGTATTTCCTGGAAGCAAAGCCAGCCAGTCGTCTCCCCATCTCTGAGAGGTACAACTTTTATCTCTTGAGATTCTAGGAAAGAAGGCATCAACTGAGACGGAAGGTGACTTGGAAATTTCTATACAAGTAGTACCATTTCATTTTTTTTTTTTTGAAGTGTGCTTGGAAATTTCTATACAAGTAGTACCATTTCCTTTTTTTTTTTTTTTTTTTTTTTTTTAAATATATATATATTTGGGCTTCTTAAAGCCCAAATATAGATTTAGAGAAAAATAATTGGACGACCTGTCGTTGGAGAGTGGAGATAGCGGCCACCGCTAAATTAGGATTTGAGTACGGAGGTTTTGAAAATGATGACTTTTCTCTCGTTGCTCTTGAATGACATGGAAAAGTTTCCCTCGTCGCCAGAGAAATCCATCGAAAGCACTTGTCGTACGGAGTCAGCAGTCGTTCTCTCTATCTCCACCACTGCTCCACCATTAACCCAACCGGTAATGCTCTCGATCGCGTCCATCAATTTGAATGTAATTGTAATTGGTGATGTATGATTATGGAATTGCTATTATAAACTGTGCCTTCATTTTTGCTCATGTCTAGTTACCTCAAAAACCATAGTTCTCTAAAGTCTATGAAAATAACCAAGTAATGCAATTTTTTTTTTGAAAATAACCAAGTAATGCAATTTTTTTTTTTTCTATTTATGTACTTTTTTTTGTTGATATAATTCTTGTGAAGGGTTAGTGATACCGATAAAAAGCGTGGAGGTATGAGATTAAAACTAAACGATGAGGCAAACTGAACAATGCACATACAGAAAGAGACAGAAAATGATGACTAATGAGAAAGGTGTCTGAAGAAGGATTCCAACATGACAAGAACCAATTGCTTTATTCCTTACAATTAAAGTCTAATGCTTGGTATTGGGTTTTTGTGAAAGACTTTATTGTTGAATTGGGTATTTCAATACAATCAAAATGAGTAATATCCTCGCTCATAATTAGTCTCAATATCTGATTCCGGCATTTTGAGTTTCCGTTCATCCATATCTCTCCTTCCATTCTTCTCTGACCTCCTTTGCTTTTTCCTCCACTTCTGCTCAACAAGCATCACCAATATCCCAATAAAAGTAATTGACAGTATAGCAGCACCCACTAACAATACAATGACAGGCATCCATTCTGTCCCTCGAACAGGAGACATTATCACCCATGAGGCTGCCAGGTAACCTGCTCCCATGAATGACACTGCTAACCACATTATCCTATCTGCAATTTTCAGTATTCTCTTCTGTGTTTTTCTTCGAAAGGGTATGATCCTCACTAGAATAAGAACCATGGAAAGAGATGTGAACAACGCAATAGTGTTAGTTATTGCAAAAACCTTAAAACCTGCAGTTCTTGCTAGAGTTGACTTCCCTTTCATAATTCCTTCCTGGTAAACACCACCAGGAGGACTTATCCCAGCAGTGAAAGTCACTGTTGCAATCAAAGTAGCAACTAAAATGATTGTGTTTCTCGCATTTTGCAGTGCCTCTTCATGTATTTGTTCCAGGCCACTAATGTCTTCAGTGAAGTCCATCTTCCTTGTGCTGCCACGTTTGTCCTTTTGTTTTGTAGCATTGCGTTTTGCTTTCAATCTTCTTCTTCTTTCACCAACTAGATGTTGTTGAGGTGATGAATAGCTTGCATGAGATAAATTAGGCTCTTGATCTTCATGCGATGAATTGTTTGTAGGAGATAAGATAGGCTCTGAATCGAAATTGTCTGCTTCTCTTTCATGATCCGCTGGCTTTGTATCAAAATCGGGCACTTGTTTATCATCATCCGCTGGCTTTGTATCAAAATCGGACACTTGTTTATCATCATCCGCTGGCTTTGTATCAAAATCGGACACTTGTTTGTCATCATCCGCTGGCTTTGTATCAAAATCGGAAACTTGTTTATCATCATCCGTTGCTCTAACAACATCATTGGTTTTTGATAAAATTTGTACTCCCTTGTTACCACCTGCATTTAATAAGGTTTGAATAACGCGTCTACCTCGATTAAACCTGTTCCGGTAAAGCATGTCAAGCGCTGTAAGTTGTTCATTGTTCAGGGCATTCACATTTATTTTCGTTTCCTTGATCAAGTACTCTGCAATCTGAGACAAACATATATTAACTTAATATAACAACTTATTGATTGTTACTATTATCGTTTCTTATATACGTAATAACAAGTACTTGTTAAATACCATTTAATACATCCTAATTTCTTACCGCGGGGTTGTTTTCACATGCGAGATGTAAGACGCTGTTACCCAATCCATCTGTAGAGTATAAGAGATGATAAATACTTGATTTCTGCAGTAGGAAAACGAAAGAATCATCGGATTCTGAACTTTGTTTTGCGGATAAGTGAAAAACTGATTGCTTAGTATCTCTGGTGAGCAGTTTGAAAGCGGATGGAGCTTTTTTCCAAAATTCTTCAAGAAATTGAACATTCCCCTTCATCACTGCCAAGTGCAATGCTGTGTATCCATCTTTATTATACAGCCTGTGTGTTTGTCTGCTACTCTTTCCAATTAGTAGCTGCACCATACTTAAGTTTTCTTTGATACAAGCACAATGTAGTGGTGAATTTTCATTTTTGTCAATCTTCAGGGCTAAATTTGGGACCTTTTTCAACAGGATTTCAACAATATCTGCATAACAACAGTTGTAATTAATAATATATACAAGTTAGTAGCAGAGCTAGTGAATGAAATAAGGTAAAATAAGAGAGAAAATTTTCATGGTGATCACAACTTCTTTTTCCCACTAATTAATTCCTATGAAGTAAAATTGATTGTACAAATTCTTGAACCTGTATATTCCAGCAAAACAGCAACATGAAGACAAGTCTGATCGAAACCATCAACTTGAATCAACTGAGGCCGCTGCAAAAGGAGTTCCACCAGCCCAAGATGCCCATGGCGACAAGCCAAGAAAAGTGGAGTCTGGTTCTTTTTATTAATCTTATTATGTGCGGCTTCGACATTGACACCAATCAAAAGCTTTAACATTTCAGGATTGCAATGGCGACAGGCTAAATGAAATGGAGTGTCGCCTTTTCCATCCTGTGCTGCAACCAGTTCAGGACACAGCTCCATAATTGTGTCGCCTTTTCCATCCTGTGCTGCAACCAGTTCAGGACACAGCTCCATAATTGTCTTAGCTACTCTTAGGCGTCCATACATTACAGCAAAATGTAACGCTGTGGTCCAGGTATCTTCTGTCTTCTGCTCAAGAATTGCTTTATCTCCTTCGACCAGCTCGTGAAAAGACTGCATGTCATCTTCAACAATTGCTTTAACAAGCCTTCTATCCATTTCGTTTCTGTTTCTAGTATTTGTGAGTATTTGTGTTTAATCCTTATTAATTGCTTCTCTTGTCATAAACACAAGATCATATAGGACCTCCTTTCTTTTTATTTCCCTTATTATTATTTTTTTTTTCAATTTCTCAAGTTCAAACACCAGTATAAAATCAGTCAATGTATTAGTGATAAAAAAAAACATTAATTTGGCATTATATTGAAGGTTACCTACGATTCCCTTTCACATTTAAATTTGTTCACATGTCACCATCAGCCCCACTAATTAGTGGTTTGATATCATTAATTATTGTTTGATCCAATTGTTGACCGACGGACGACCCCAGACTCCATAGGTACTTGGCCTTTCCTTAAATTTAATTTGCGAAAACTACTTAACTCGACAGTTGTTATGCATTGATTAAGAATAATAACTTCAAGACTTGTCCTCATTCTGGTCACCTTTTGGACAAGCTAAAGAAAATCACAAGGGCTGGTTGAGTTGAAACTTTTTCCTTAACCACTTACCATCCACCGTTAAGGATGCTTTCGACTGAATTATAATTCTAATTTTATGAGAAATTTCATAGGTTTTATTTGAAAAATGCCTGTTTAATGTATTGTTGATTGGGTATTTCAATACAATCAAAATGCATAATATCCTCGCTATAATTAGTCTCTCAATATCGATTTTAGATTGTTTGAGTTTTTGATGCAGAAACGGTTACAGTTGAATGAGTACGTGAATGAGAATAACGATTATACTCTATCAGGAGTTTTGATCAATAACGTATAATCTGACGACTAAAATAGAGAATTAAAACTTTCAAGAAGTTTATTGATATCAATAATAATCAAAGATGGTCCCTGTTCTTAATACAAAATAACCTATTTATAGGTTTAGTTTTTAAAACATTAAAACCCTAAACTAACACAAAAAGGTAACTAGATAAAACCCTAGTAAGGGCGGCAGCAAGGGCATGCTGGACAAAGTACGAGCGTGCTTGAACTCTCAAAGGCTAGTACAGGCGTGTTTGGCATGACAGGGTGTACCGGAACGCGAAATGTAATTGGACCCATTGGCACGGGGGTGCTAGGACTTCCAGAGGCTAGCACGGTAGGCTAGCTGTGGCACGGGCGTACATGTGCTTCTTGGTTTTGGGCATGTCTCATGTCCTGAACTTCTAGAGTCTAGCACAGGCGTGCTGGAGATAGCACGGCCTTGCTCCTTCTTCTTGGTCTTGCATCGATCCAAGTCTTTCATATACTTAACTGCCAGTTGCTCCGCATCAGTTTCCTATCATCTATATCTCTCCCTTCTTTCTTCTCTGTCCTCCGATGCTTTTTCCTCCGCTTCTGCTAAACCAGCATCACCAATATCCCAATAAAAGTAATTGCCACTATCGCAGCAGCCACTAACAAAACAATGACAGGCATCCATTCTGTCCCTCGAACAGGAGAAATTATCACCCATGAGGCTGCAAGGTAACCTGCTCCCATGAATGACACTGCTAACCACATTATCCTATTTGCAATTTTCAGTATTCTCTTCTGTGTTTTTCTTCGAAAGGGTATGATCCTCGCTAGAATAAGCACCATGGAAAGAGACGTGAAAAATGCAATAGTGTTAGTTATTGCAAAAACCTTAAAACCTGCAGTTCTTGCTACGGTGGACTTCCCTATCATAGTTCCATCTAAAGAGATTGAATGGCAAAGGAAAGTTGTATATCATTGTATTGCTATAATACGTATATATACACAAGTATTGATAAGATTGAGATACAAATACGTAACAATACGAACAGAAAGAAAGCTAAAGAAAGATATACACCCATAACAAACTTATCTTCACTAACATGCCCTCAAGCTAATGGACTCTTTGGAAACAAAGCAGTACGTTGTGTTCTCAGATCAAGAAACCGTTGCGCGGGAAGCGCTTTAGCGTTAAACAATCGCTTGTTGATCTTTTCCAGATATGAAAACGAACAATCAATTCTTTCCTTGCCCACTTTATCATCTCACAAAAAATGGACATCAATTTCCACCATGCTCTCATCTTACTATGAAACATAGGAATTGGCAGTCAAATAGGTGGCCCCAAGATATCACACCACAAAGAATGGGGGTCTTTTAATACAATACCCATTCTGAAAGCATATTTTGTATCCATGTTTAATTCGACAGTTGTTAAAGGCATATTGGACGATACTCCGCTTTCAGTGGAAAGAAACCGAAGGATACAGTCTTTTGTTTTTAGAACGAGATACAGTCTTTTGTTTTTTGGAATTCCAGGAAACCAAGTTGCCACCAAAATATATTAAAAATCCCGTAGTTGACCGACGATCGTCAACAGAACTTGCCCAATCCGCATCACTATAAGCAGAAATTCGTGAAGACGAAGCTGGTTTGTAAAGAATGCCATACCCTATTGTCTCCTTCAAATAACGCAGTAACCGCTTCAACTGAAGCCAGTGCTCCTCCATTGGATCATGCATGTAATGAGACAATTTGTTAACAATAAAATTAATATCTGGCCGGGTCAAAACCAGATAATGTAAGCGCCCAACAAGTTGCCGAAATAAGGATGGATCCGAACAATAAGTTGAACCAGATTTTTGACTTGTTGAAGATGGTACTGCAGGTGTTGGCAACCCCTTACAAGCATGAAATTTGGTTTTAAGTAGCAGATCCTGTATATATTTAGATTGAGACAAAAACAATTGATCCCCATGCCAAGAAGCCTCAACCCCAAGAAAATAATTAAGCCGACCTAAGTCTTTCAACAAAAAGGACTTTTGAAGCTCACTAATGACTTGAGTTATGTGAGGGACAGAATTACCAGTTAAAATGATGTCGTCGACATAAACAAGACAATATTGAATGACGTCATTCTTCAAGAGAATAAACAAAGAGGTGTCCATCTTAGACTTAACAAAGCCAACAGAGAGTAAAGCATTAGCCAAGCAACTATACCATTAACGAGGAGCCTGTTTTAGGCCATAAATTGACTGATGGAGCAGACAAACATGATTGGCGAAAGTGGGATCTTTGTACCCCGGGGGTTGACTCATATAAACCTTCTCATTAAGAGACCCATGCAAAAAGGCATTAGACACGTCTAATTGCTTGACTAACCACCGATTGGTAACAGCAACAGAAAGAACCAATCGGATGGTCGTAGGTTTCACAACTGGAGAAAATGTTTCCTTGTAATCAATCCCATGACGTTGATTAAATCCCTTAGCAACTAGACGCGCTTTGTACTTGTCTAGAGTTCCATCTGCCTTCTCTTTAATACGAAACACCCATTTGCATCCCACTATATTTGCATCATACTTGTCTAGAGTTCCATCTGCCTTCTCTTTAATACGAAATACCCATTTGCATCCCACTATATTTGCATCAATAGGTGGTTCAACCAAAAACCAAGTACCCAAAGCAATCAACGAATTAAGCTCCGCAGCCATAGCATTGCGCCAATTTTCTGATTTTTTTTGCATCATTTACCGTCAATGGTAAAGAGTGGGAGGGAGCAACAGATAAAAATACCCGAGGTTTCAATGAGCCAGTTTGAGACCGAATCACCATAGAGTGTGTTCGAGTGATAGGAGTTGCAACAATCTGATTTTCAGTGACTGCCAACCGAGAATCAGGTGATTGAGAATCTGCTGAACCAACATCAACTACAGAATTAGATTCTGCCACCGTTCTAATGTAGCAAGCGGATTGACAGAAGTACTAATAGTGGGAGAAGCAGACATAGGAACAGTATCGTGAGAAGATTCTGATGATCTATTATTTGCCAAAATCACAGGAAATTGGGAAGGATGTAAAACAGAAGCAGATGGGGCAGATGTCGTAGTAGATGGTGTTGATGGGGAGATAGATAAGATGCCTTTTCCAACCCATACATAATAGGGATCACAAGTCTCAGCCTTGGTCGAATTGGAAAAATTGCTACACACTTGTGAAAAAGGGAAAACAGATTCATTAAACTAAACACGACATTTTTTTGGGGACGGGGAAGGGGGGGAAATAAAAATTTTAATTGGTTTTGAAACATGGAAGACCACTTTAACCTTTGTGAAGGAAACTATACCCGAGAAATACACATGGCTAATAGAACGGGTAATCAAGTTTATGCTTCGCATATGGACGCAACATAAGGAAAACGGGAGACAACCAAAACACTTTAAGATTATCAAAGGATAGGGGCGAGTGAAAGAGAGATTGATATAGGAGTGGCTTTTTTTTTGGGGGGAAGCAGTAGGCATTCGATTAATCAAGTAAACACTGGGGTTTCCAAAGGCAAAATTCCCAGTAAGAAATTAGGCATAGAGGCATGTGATATGCAGGCATGATGCAACATTGCTAATCCAGTTTCCACTATATGGCGGTGTTTTCTTTCGGCTATCCCATTTTGTTGAGGGGTATACGGACACGAAACACGCAATGAGATACCATTGACAGAAAGATATTTGGCTAGAGATTGTTATTCCCCACCCCAGTCACATTGAAATTGTTTGATTGTAGTGTTGAAATAATTTTCAACTAATGACCGAAATTTAATTAACGTAGGCAAAACATCAGATTTTCTCTTTAAACAATAAAGCCAAGTGTATTTACTAAAAGCATCATGGAAAAGAACATAATACCGATTCCCAAACAAAGAAGCAACTGGAGTGGAGCAGGTCCCCAAACATCAGAACATAACAATTGTAATGGTGCATTAATGTTAGAGATGGAATCCGAAAATGGTAATTAATGAGATTTGCTAGTACAACACGCAGAACACAT